TCTGTATTTTTTATGTTTGATGTGAAAGATTAATAGATTTGAGCACACAAATCCAGATGACGGTTATGTCCACCGCTGCAGCAAAGATATCAAGTATGAAAAGTCAATTTTTTATTTGGAGATGGCTTCCAAGCTGGAAATATGTCGGACGAGATGAAATTTGTCTTCATATTGGTCGGTTTGTTCGGATTCAGATTTCTCTGTGTGATAGATATTACACGGCTGACTTATGACATCAATTGAATGATGATTGAAAGTCGTCGCATGTCGTGTGAGCCGAAGCGAACATTCCACGAATTCAATTTGATATTGAGAACAAAGTCATGATTATTTCTCCGAATTATTCATTGCTAGACGAAAAAAAAGAATAATTCTTTCCTAATCTGGGTGTCGAACACGTGTCGCAAACGTGACACATCTTTACATCTTGTATGGAAGCACAAATTAAGTGAAAATTACAGGCCGGAACAAAAGGAAAAACTTTCCGACTTCATTCTCTCTCTCTCTCTCTCTCTCTCTCTCTCCATATCACTCTCTCTTTCTATATTTATCTGTCTATCTTTAACTCTCATCATCATCATCACATCACAGTCGAAAATTATTGCTTCAAAATCGATTGATTGCATGAAAAGTGTGCGTGATTCAAAAAATTGATGGCAAACAAAGTGGATAGTCAATATTTGGGAATATTGCGCCTAACTCAATCCATCCAACCAAATATGTGTTGGAAATTTTTATTTAAAAAAAAAAAGTTCCCATTCCCATCGAAATTGAGAGCGAGGGACATGTCAAGGCGAAATAAATAAGTGTATGTGCTTTTCTCTCTCTCTTTCACTCTCTCTCTTTATTTTTTGTTTCATTTTTTTTTGTTCTGACAACACGACAATTGAGGCGATCTATTTTCGGTATTGTGACTTTGCTGTTGCCGACGCAATAATATCCCCATTGAATGGAGAAAACGAGAGATCCTTATTTGATTACACATTATCGAGGCCATTCCTCGTTATCACTGACTAATTGAACGAATGTGAATATACGCTGGGAAAACACGGGTGACACTTGCAATCGTTACGTTTTGTTGCTATAGTTTTCAATTTTAATTAAAAGAAAAGGATAATGAAGACCAAAACGAATGAACGTTTGTTCAAACGAACGAACGAACGAGCAAGCGAGAGATCTTATGGACGCTGAATTTTCGCCCCGGTATCTTGCTGTCTATTCGAGAAAATATGCGGGAGCCAGTATTATGAGCATTATTGTGTATTACATAAAATGTACACAATCACACGCTTTGTACCGCATTCGTAAACTCTTGGAACTCGCTACTCAGTAACCCACCCTGAAACCATATATTCAACGGGGAGTAGCTATTTACTCATGAAACCCATAAAGTTTTGCTCATTTTAAATATATATGGAAGATATATACATATACGAATATGTTTATATACGTGCATGGGTTCACACACATTTGACTCCAAAGTATTTATTATATAAAGCGACGACATACAGCAATATAGCAGATTTTGCTGCTGATTTTCAATTCAACACTCAAATTCTGTAGACCATTGTTGGCCAGGCGATGATAATTTCATATACATATGAATGAGGATATACGGAGAAAGTAATAAAATATGTAGCTTACATGAATTCAGTATGTACTGTAATTTCGAGTCGGCGACCCTGTTGTTAAGCTCCAAGGATATACTTGCATGTGTATGTCTGCGTTTTGACAAAGCGAGCAGTATGTGTGTGAGCAGGAAATTCGGTTTAAATTTTTCAAAAAAAGGGCGTACATTTTTCCTTTTTCGAACCGAATTCATCATCGACGGATGTATGTTGAGTGCGTTATTTGCCGGATTTTCTGCTGCTTCCCATACGCGTTGGTGACATAATTGAATGTATGTTAGAGAGTTACTAAAGAACGGTTCGATTTAATCAGCTGGGAGTCAATTAAAGATACTCACAAGGCGCACACACGTATACACCAATTACATTAGAAGCCAAGAGATATCGACGGAATGATATGCGCACATACACACACACATATATGTATATGTACTGGATGAAAAATAGTTCGACTTCGCCGTCTGAACTTAGTTTGGTTATATATTTCGATGAAGAAAAAAAAACGGAAAAAAGTAGTAGTTAATGACTCTGATTTCGTTCGTATCGCCGATTTTGCCTAATTTTGTTATTTTTTCCCTTTCTATTCGTTGAATGTCTGCCGAACTTTATGACCAACCCGAGAGAGCCTTGGGTCATTAAGCGGCTCAGCCGGAATAAAATTTTCTGCACAACAAGTTTAGCAATGAAGAGAAAACTGAAGAGGCCAAATGAATCGTTTTAAAAAGTGGGTAGAAAAAAATGTTTTTTTATCTGTCCTTCAAACTATAGAGTCTCACGAGAGACCGGACATTTTAGCGGTTAAACGAATAACCGAGCAGGCGTGCACACATACAACTAACGTACTATACATTCCGTTTCGCTGCAATCGCCCTCAAGACGTAGTCGAGAGGTGCCCCCAATAGTATGCCGTTTCAGAATGTATTTAACCGAAAATCCGAACGACATTATTCTATCGAATTATAAGGTTCAAATCAAAATGAAAAATTTTCAGTCTTCATACAACTTCTGTATGCCGATCGATTCTCACGGAATCGAAACGTTTTTTTTTTCTTCGATTTTTTGATGAAATTTTTTTCCTGGTTTTTCATTGCATTTCTTAATCAATTGTAAAGAAAAACAAATTTTTTCCTTTTGGAATACGTTAAAAAATCATTTGAAAAAATATATATTTCAATTCAGTTGATTTCGTTCAATACAAACATTTTGCATGTGCGAAAAGGAGACGAGATGACAGCGTTCAAGTGTATGTTGAATAAGTCTGTTTCACATGCATACATATTGCAGTTCGACGGCGTGTGTATACGATTTGGGCATTTGATTATGGAAGAAACGCGATGCTGTTTGAAATGTGTGCGCGCGCGGTGTGAGTGTCTACGTTAGCTGACACCGCATTCACAGTCAATATACACACACACACACACCAAAAATACAAGGGCTGTATACTGTGAATGTTTCTTCCAACTTCAAGTGGGTTAACTTTTAATCTAAAAACAATGTACACACCATTCGTACTGCGTGAAGAGTTGATTAGTGATGTAAAATGTCCAATGTATTGTACATTACGTATGGCTGTTAAGTAAATAGCATAATTTTCACTGTGTACCCCCTGGATACTGGTTGCTCATATCGTCATACCGAACAACTGTTCGGTTCCAGTGAATATATATGAGCGTGAACTTACCTCGCCGATATCATTTCACGTTGGCCTTTCCTCTCGCTCTTTCTCTTTCTCTTTCGCTCGCATTCACTTGCTCTTCAATTAAAATAACCCAACGCATCGGTAAGATAATACCAGCCATCAAACGAAAGCGATACACGCTTCTAATGCACAAGGACACACAATTTACCATACAAACATGTACATATCATCGAAATCTGTACCATGTTTGGCTCTATAAACGCTTTTTGCTGCCTGAGATAATAAAAATTTCTAAGCACTGTAAGGCATGCGCAAGAGTCTCGTATACAGTAATTTTGCGATTTGATGATGAATACTGTACATTTCACATCTATATACAGATATTATATTATATATGTCGGCTGATACCCATAAACCGGCATCGACAACAAACACTCTCTCTGTATAAGTGGTGAGCGTAACACGAGCAATAGAATGTATATTGTAGATGTATGTGCTTTGGAAATTATATGGTTGAAACATCAACTTGATGTAACCATGCACAACAGCATTAAGTGAGGATAGCGGGCCCACGAGCGGACTTAAATGTCCTTCAAAGATGGAGATTATCATACTCTAAGATTCTTTCTCTCGTTCATTCGCTGGAAATTGCAAAAATTTCGTCAAAACAAGAATCGCGAGAAATTTTACGGTTTAAGGAATGATGTCGGGCATTGCATGCAGAATAAACGTTCAACAAATGACCAGCATATTCAAAATTCATTTCGAATTTTCTTCTGTGTTCGAAGTCAATATTAGAAGCGAGAACGCGTCCAACTTTGTAAATGAATCGATGGTATGGCTGTTGGCACACAAAATAAAACGTAGGTCGTGTGAGGAATCAAATCTGATCTATAGCTGAACATATATATATATATGTGGGGGGCAACAATAGTAGTCGTAAGGGAACCATATGAAAAGTTTGCTCTTGTTTCTAGTCGGAAAATAAAAAGCTCGAGCCATGTAATATTTGAGTATCATGCTATTATGTACGGTAATACTGTGTTCAACCTCAAGAAAAATGCGAATACCCTATCACCGAGTCAACTGTTTCTGTGCTATATACATGAATAGCTCTGTATATGTATGATATCGACATTCTTGTGTTTTCCCTTTTTCCGCACTGTTATTGTTTTTGTGCTACTGCTGTCGCTTCCCCGTGCTCTCGAACATCGCATGCCCTATGTCTGAAGCCGTTACACATGGTATAACATAATTATACATTGTATAGACGTTGAACTGTATATTTTCCCGTTTTTCCATCTACATATATAGCATAGGGCACACGATTCTATGTGAGTGTCTCCCTCCCTCCCTCTCTCTCTCTCTCTCTCTCTCGCTGTGTGTGCCTGACACTCCACACAAAGGACGGACAAACATAACCTCCAAAATGGAAAAAAAAGTGAAAAACGAAAAATGTTAGAGGAAGGTCAAGAAAGTTGTTCCCAAGCCATGTGTATGCTGTTCTGTATGTATGTAATATACGTATTCGTCTATCCTGTATGTATGACAAAGAATTTTTCGGTCGACGAAACTTTTTAAACGGGAAAAGAAACGGGCAATTTTGAGATTTCTTTTTTTTCGTCATAAAACTCTTCATTTCATTCGTGGCATTTTAATCAAGGTTTTTTTTCTCAATTTGTAGTAATTTGATTGTTTTTTTCGTGTTTTGAAATGCAATGAATCGTACTTACATTTGTTAGTTTCTCCAATCAAAGACCGGAAGAGGTTGTCAAATCGATTCGTCTGTCTACCGAATGACGACGTTAGTCTAGAAAATTAAAATTGGAACCGCACAGCCTCTGAGCCCAAAATTTCAAACCCAAAAACGCCAAATTTTCCGCAAGATCGAAAATGCGGTGTTCTAATCCTACTGCGATGTTGAAACAGAAGTTATTCCAATGGCTGTTCCGTCACACACGATGAACAAGTAGCGAAATTCCGGCTTTTTTCGTTGTCCTATCATTCATTTGAAACCTGCACACATTGACAATTATTGCGAATTCGAATATCTCAGAGCAATTTAAGCACGAATTAGGTTTACAGATTCGGATTCGGATCCAAGAATCGGTGTCAATGAGAAAGACTGAGATGGATATGGAACACTTGTCGAATATTATAAAAAAAAATTTACTTGGCAACAACACACTCTAATTTAACCCTTGAACAACACAAAACTGTCGGCAGTAGCGAACATTGTCTATCCAATAAACAAATTACTTGTTACCAAATTTAAATTTCAACTTTTTTTTCATCAAATAACGGCCATTTATTTTACGTAACGGGAAATGTTCTGGAAACACACAATTTCAATAATATTCATCAAAAAGTTTCGTTCACACAACCGTCGCTGACTGATGCGAACTGAAGTGCTGGTTCGACTGACTGATTCGAGATAAATTCACCGAATGTTCATGAGGAATCGTTTTTTGGCTAATACAAACCCATAAATAGAGACGCGAGAGAAAAACACCGAAACCATGAGACGAAAAACTTCGATCCTACTTTGATTATGTATGGCGATGTGTGTGCATCGAATCGACGTCTTGCGCGAAATATACACAGTGATGGCAAAAAGGAAAAGTTATGTATTTGGTACACTTCTTGTTATTTTTCGTGTTTTTTTTTGTTGTTGTTGCTTTTATTCTGTATTCTTGTGCCTTGGTTTGTCGGTTGCCGTTGCTTTTGCTGTTGCGAAAACGTCTGCTTCAAATGATTAGTGTTTTACCGAAATTTACTTCAGTTGCTAACGAGGGATAAAGTGATTCAATGAAAGTTCAAACACAGTGTTCGGGAAAGCACAACGCACACGATGAATTCAACGGTGATGACTACCACGACGACGACGACGACTGCGACGGCCACAGTGAATAAATGGAAACAGACGAACCTAGACGTATACATTCATACCCCGAAACATACATACACGCAAACGCCAAACTCCATACGGTTATTTGGCATCGCAAAGAAAGGAACAACACCGAAAAATTCGGTTAGCATAGCTATGTTGTCATCATGTTAGAGCGACGTGTTCTATTTTATCAAAAATATAATAAAAGCAGCAGCAGAAGAAGAAGAAGAAGGAGACGAACATATAACACAACATTGACGGTAGCACATACACACCAATTTGGTTTCAAGTAACTCTTTCCCTATTCCGTATATGAACTTTTTTGAACAGCCGGAGAGCCGACACGAGAAATGATCGACAAGGATATTTCCATTCACTGTACATACGCATGTATGTATATTTCTCGTCCATAAATCTTTAACAGTATGTAAATGGTGCGGCGGTTTTTTCTTCTGCCGCTTTTGATTAGAAATAGCCAAAATCGGATTTGCTTCTGCCGAGCCTTGGTTCCGTCAATTCGATTGGATGCAAAAGTTTAAGCCGTTTTGTGGAGATACTCCATAATGGAATATGGCATAGACATGAACATCATCCATGGTACATAGATCGGAGTCGAAAGACCTTGTGATGTGTGTATGCAGCCGCTTCCCTTTGCTCCTATGATTCTATCTTTTATTACTTTTTTGCACTTAACAACAGGCGCACATATTTACTGAAGCCGGCCTCAAACGATGTGTACATAAGAGATCACAATCCATAATTTGTTTTCCATCGTGCAGCAAACGGCGGAGCGGCTGTATATATGAAAGCATCCCATGAGTTGGGAGTTGTCAAACATAGTAACAGCCGCCAACGATAACCACAACAGTACGAAGAGAAGTACACGCCAAATTCGTTTGAAACAAATGCACGAGCTACTGGATGAATGTTGCAATAACGTTGGCTTTCACCACTCGCCTTTTCAGAAAGATAGAGTGAAGAGTGAAGAGCGAACAGGGAATCGGAGCAAATCACATGCTATATAACTTATGTGTGGCGTGAGTCGAAAATTTGAAAATTGGTACAAATTGGGCGAGCACGTAATTTTTGAAGCAAAAAATGCGATAATTCTTTCCATAGAGAGTATGGTATAGAATGGATTGAAGAAAAACGCAAACACAATTGAAATGTGCTACACCTATCAAAAATTCAAAACTCAATTGATAACAATTTTTTGGAATCAATATGCTCGGATATGTAGCGATGGCTGGGCATTTAACCGAATAGCAACAACCAATACCAGAAACCATCGAAAAATATTCGACTGGCTCAAGCGCGCTGGTCAATAGCTGAACTTCAGAGGAAAATATTCCGTCGTCTATCGTTCAGTCTTCCATAGATGTAATGACATATTTCAGTGAAGAGTGGCGTATAACGATAGACGTTGAGAGCAAATTAACACCAATAAGAACAAAAAGGGCAGCGAGGCGGCGGCGGCAGCAATGCCGATGTAAAATTTTGCCATATTTTCTCTTACTAGTCTATATGCATATAGAAAGAGAGTACATAAATTTTAAAATGTATAACTCGGACTCAATAGATTGAGTTAACTATGTCATACACTCGCACTCTTTTCTCTCTCATTCGGTTACACACATAAACACACATACGCTCGCTCTCGCTCACTCGGCACATAAACCATACACTTGATTTTACTCTAGTTTTTTATGTTACGATTTTTTCTCTCTTTTATCGTCTACTCGGTTCTCGCTGCTTGTATCCATGTTGATTTCCATCTTTCCCTTTTTTCATGAACACTCGAGCATATTCAACTCCGGTGATAATAGATGGTAGAAAAACCACTTGAATACCGACTCCGCGTGGTGTTTGCGCTTTTTCGTGAAAAATAATAATGATGATGATGAAAATTGATTTATCAATTTAATGATTCTGGCTAATTTTTCTTCATCAAATTCCGCAGAATTCAAATCCAATTGAATTGGTCTTGGGCTGATGAGATGAAAACATGGTAAACAACTAAAACCTTGCTATCGTTTCATTGGAATTATTTTCGAGAGAAAAAAAGCTCCTTCGCACTTCGAATTGTTCTGCGAAAATATAAACAAATTATATTTCGCCTTTTATGCAAGCAACAGACAGAGTGGGAGAGGAGGGTAGAGGGAGAAAAATATCACTCAAACTACGAAACAAATGAATGTCGAAAACATCTTCATTGTGTTAGATTATGGAAATGGGTTAACGCGTTATTCGCAATGATGCATGCAAATGTGTAACAATCACTCGTTTTGTTTGCAACTAATGTCATTGGTGTTGTGCATCTTTTTGGATTTCTCGTCCCATGCGCTATGTATGTATAGACAGTTACAGATGTGTGCATAGTGCACGCTTTGCCCAATGTGCTTCTTTCTATTTCATTACTTTGTGATTTGCAAGCGAAATGACTTTGCCCAAAAGTTTCATTGGATTGCATTACGTGAAGCTTGCTTTCGTTGCACATGAGCGTCACACAGTTACATGTCCCCATAAAAATTGCACATATGATTTCCCGTGTGTGTCACCTTATTTCAGCTTGTTGTTTTTTTTTTGCTGTCCGCTTGCGTTGTTTGGTTGCGATACACGCGTTGTTTGTTTCCTCTGTGCATTCCTGTTGTTGTTGTTGTTGTTGCTACCGTTGCTGTTCTCTATTTATAGTTAATAGTGTGCTTGTGTGCATATTTTCCATTCAGTGTTTTATCACACTGCATTTAGCCCAAACCAAACAAACCAACAGGAATTAGATCACTTACGAACGAATGAACCACTTTGCGGTTGAACTGAAGCTTCGCTTTGGCTTTCCTTTTTTTTCATTCTCAAATTGATTAAAGTGTATTTTCAGTTGAGCCAATTGATGTTTTCACATTTTTTGTATGACGGAAATCGGCTTGTTATGCATTTAAAAAAAAAAAGCAATAATGATTTTATTTTTGTAACCATTTTGTGTTTTATGCTCCGTGTTATACCATTTCTAATCATCTCAATGCGATCTTTATCGTGGCAATTTTCGACCACAGAGAAAAAAAAATTCACAATAATACCGTAAACGTCTCTTCTATTTAGTCGGCATATGCAAACTTATATGGATTTTATGGCCACTACTCAACTTATTGAGCGATGTGTGTTAGAAAGTTGGAATAATCTGTCGTTGAGATGGTTTATATTTTGTACGTGCGCTTTGCATTTATGTGTTTATTTCCCCATTTTGTCTCTTCTACGTTTTTTTCAGTTTTGTTTTTGTCTCAAAAACATTTTGGTCACTTTCTTTGCATGATTGGATTCAACATTTTTATCGTCGTGTTCAAAATAGTAGATGACGAAATAAAAAAAAAAAGCCAAACGAAAGAAAACGAGAAACAGCCCAATTCAGCGAAATAAAAGAAATATCAAATATAGGTCAAGTGCCAAATGAAAGTCTGCATTTAAAGTGAGTGCGATGGTCGGTGGGCAAGTGTTCATAACACATCTCTCTTTGTTCATCGAAACAATCAGTTCGCGGAATCGATCAAGAAGCAAAAAAAACGGCCATCACAAACGTAAAAACAGAAAATTGGGAAATTGTCATAATAATTTTGGTATAGGTTTCGGATAATTCCAACGTTACCTTTTCGGCATACAACACATTTATGACAAACTCTTCATGTAGCTGCTCTTATACGTATTATTATTTCCATCGAATAAAAAAAATGGTTATGTATCACAGATATTTTAATTTTTTTCTATTTTTCCTATGCTTTTCTTTCTCTTTCGCTCTTTTTTCAATTTTGCATTTATATTTCAGCAGCAAAATGAACGTATAGTAACAAATGTATGAAAATTTCCTTTGGAACACTCAGTCGCTGCAGCACATGCAATACATTTTTTTTCCAACGGCACCAAAATCGAACAAACTCACAAGTTCACTTTTTTAATGAAGAAACTGATTTATCTTCGTGCCAATTTTATTCACTCAAATGAACTTAATACACAAAATTAGTTTTAACGCATTTATGTAATGCAATTCACTTTTTTTCGATTTTTGGATTATTTATTTTTCTCTAAACAAAAATACGGAGCAAAACGTGAAATTTGAATTTATTCCATGATAATTATTTCACATGTGGAAATTGCAGTAAATTTCCCGTAACGGATGAATCGTTGTTTAAACGCAAAAGAAAAAAACAAAAAAAAACGTACTACAACTTTGATTTTCCTTTTAAAAAAATGATAACACACAGGATAAACAAGAGACAAAAAAAAAACGAAAAACAGTTTTCAAATCAAAAGTGAGTCGCGCGAACGAACCAACGTTTATTTTTTCTTTCGAACAGAAGCGCCAACGACAAGAAGAACTGAACCGAAGTCGGAGGTTTTTGAAATAAAATCAAAACCAAAATCAAAACATAAAACAGAGAGAAGAGAAGAAAACAATGTGGGCTCAGTGGCGAGATTGTTTTCTTCTTATTCGGGGTCTGTTGTGTGTGTTCTACACACGACGTCAAAACTTATACTCGTGCATATGGTATACGAAAAGACGAAATTATATACACCGTTTCGCGCGCTAGCACTTGCTACGTGTTGGTCCAAATTCAGTTCTATTCTGAATCGAATTCGTTTCATGTGTATCGACATGCCGCAACTGCATCGTGAGTGGCAATGTGTATGGGCTCACTTGCTCGTTCGTTCGCTCACTCTATCTCCCTCTCTAGCTCTCTCTAACTTACATCCACCAGAAAGAGTCGCGCGCGTTGTCGATGAACAACAACACTATGGAGTTGGGCTCTCTGCGAATAGCCATGGCTTTCGTCGTGTACTTGCCTTCATTGAAATTTTGCTTTTCACTCATTCGTTTCGAATATATATTTGCACACACAATCAAAGCAAGTTCCATACAAAAAAAAGAAAACTATACATACATAAAATACGTTCGCATTGTGTGCACACCACAAAGCAGCACACGGGGAGCGAAAGAGAACGACAAAATGAAATCTGAGGAAAAAAAGCACAGCGCGAGTAATAATGAAAAATATGTATCCATACGCTGTGGACAATAAAACACCAACAAGAAAAAAGCACACATAAGAAAATGCGGTGAAAGCAATGTATGTAGAAGATTGGAATCACATCCAACCGACGACATGATACACATTTCGCTCAATGAATTGGAGTGAATGCGGTGTGTCACTGTGTTTGTATGTCGTTGCACTAGAATAAGTTTCTCTTTCTCTTTCTCCAGCTCCATATTGATACTCGTTCCAAGCATGACAATTTTGCTGCTCTGCACTCTATCAGAACGGATTCACGGCATTTCAAAACAATGTTGCTGCATTCCATTTGAAATGTGTGGAATGAGCGCGTGCGATACTTCAACAATTACCAATTACCACCAATGTTGAACTTTTACCCATGTCACACATTTTCTACATCTTATCTTAGAGACAATGTCATCCAACACTTGTCATTATTGCATACAAATACTATCAGCAACAACGTTGATATTTTTTTGCATAGCAAAACGTCTTTTTTGAACTTTTTGAATATCCCGCGAAATGCCTTGGGGAATTATCGTTTCAGTCACAACGGTTCAGTTCAACTGTGAGTGGCGATTTCGAAACGGCAAATTTTTCATCTCGCCTCACATCACTTTCTCTTTCTCACATTGCAAAATGATTATTCTTAAGCTGTCACACTTATTCAGTGACTACCTACTACGTATTCAATAGATCTGATTCGGCTATTGGGTTGAAGTGTTTATGTATTTGCGCTATTGTGCGCTGACATTTCGTTCGTTTCGGGTCGAGTCGTATCATTCTCTAACAGAAAGACATTTGTTTAGACGCCATTGTTAATCCATTGATCAAATTGAGCGCGAAAAATTCTGCCGTTTGATGCAAGTGCGTTTATCTTCTTGAAAACAGTATTCTAGGAAACATGGTGATGCTACGTGCAAATTACGAAGAATCGACTTTCCGTTGGACGATTACGCAATTTAGCGATGAATACCGAAAAGTGTCACCAGAATTTGTGGTCCAAAATTTCCCATTCCAATTGGAAATGCGAAAAGTGCGAACAATTCAAGAAAATACCCTGAAAATGTATTTGAACCGAACGAATGGACTGAAGGACGTGGAATTGACATGTATGGTGTCTGTCGAGTTCAAGTTATTGTCGTTCGATGAAAATGTTGAGCCGCATTGCAAATCATTGGTTGCTGCTGAATATGGTCCGAATGGTGGCGCATACTCATCAGTATCTTTAATATCGCTCATCGATCTCTCTGACCCGGACAAAAAGTTTGTACGGAATGACGCAATCGTTCTTGAAATTCACGTAAAGGCTGATCCACCACAAAACGACACGGCCCGGCTACCACGACTTCAAACACTTTGGAATGATGATTCGGCAATCAAGCTACATCTAACGGTCAAAGAAATTGGTCAACGGATTGGAATAATCTCGCCCGTATTTTCTCTCCGAGACATTTCATGGCAGCTTTGTGTCTACCGAAACGATGATACACTTGACGTTCGACTGCGGCCAGTTCACAGGGATTTGATAAAGAGCGCCCAACGTGTGTCATCAACCATCAAATTGCTGCCCTTCAGTCCACTACACAGTGCACACGAACGAAATTATAGCGGACAAATTGATGGGAACGACATCGTCCTGGTTTTCAAACAGTTCATACAATGGAATGAATTGGTCAATCCATTGAAACATTTCATACGTGACGGCTGCATCAAATTGGATATTGTCTTCAAAGCAAATGATGCACAACAATCGGTTCCTTCGAGTCAACGTCTGAATGACAGCGGTATTGGTTGCCCGATTTGCCTAGAAAGTCTACTGGACTTGATGGCTGTTTCGCTCAAATGTGGCCATATATATTGCAAGGCATGTGTTGACAACTCCATCAGGGCGAAGAAACAGTGTCCGATTTGTCGTACAAAGGTCCTCGCCAGCCAAATTCGTCCTGCATACCTACCCTACGCCAATTAATTCTTCCGAATGCATCTTGAATCGGTACAATATTCATATCCAGCTAATTTTAAATGTGTGCATAATTTTGCATTGATTTTTAATTAAATTTTGAACGTTTTTTCATTGGATTAGGCAAACCAAACATTGATCGAACGGAACAATGACGAATTTATGACAGATCAACTTTAAAAATGCAGGACGAAGCCGACGTCAAAATGTATCAGTGAACAAATTTCTTTTGGCGTTTCGAGCAAATCTATTTTCTAAGCCATGAATGCCCCTGGTTCGGACATTTTTTTTCTTCTAAAGAAACAACCAACAGACAACTAAATCTCAAAACCATAACAATTATCATCGTTTTCACACCTTTGGATGAAATCATTTTAAAATAAAGAATACAAATAGAAAATATGCAATAAATATCATCATGTGCATGAGTGTCATTTGTTTTCTTAGTCATTATTTACTATTCAATGCAACCGATAGTCGCTGAAATCACTCAATTTCGTAAGTTTCATATTTAGTTTGGTTCTTTCTTGTTTAGATTACAGCGCTCGCGACCTCTGGTCTACATACACAAAATCGAAAAAACAGAACCATTCATTTCAAGCGGATCGTGTGATCGTTGCTGTGTATGTGTGAACGTCTCTCAAAATTGAGAATTTTTAGCAACTGTCATTCAGTTCAACATTGACTCTTGCTGCCAAGCAATAAGACACACAATCACAATATTTGTGTTTATTTAATCAAAATCAAACGATTCGTCCCAAAATGGCGGTGCCAACATTCGAAATAATAGAAACGAAATTGCTCATTACGGTTTTCGATGCGCCATTATTACAGTTGGAAAATTATGAATTGAAACTTCGTGGTTGCAATTGGATGTTTCATGTGGAACGAGCAACGAACGAGAGCGGCGATGGCATCAATGTTCATTTGGAGCGCATTTTCACCGATGACGATAGTTCATACAGATGCATTGCAACAGCGCAAATCGAATTGAAATCGTTTGATGACCACGCACCATCACATGTCGATCAAATTGCACCGAGAGAATTTAGTACGTTGCATCGAAAATGGTCTCTGACACCGTTCATCGATTGGGACCAGCTCATCAATCCAACTAATCGTTTCATTGACGATAGTCAAATTCAAATGATGGTGACATTCAAAGTTGACGAGCCGAAAAAACATGGCGAAGACGCAACGGTCGACTTTCATGTATTGCATCCAGGTACTGAATCATCCGAATTGAAGTTGGGTTCAACATTCAACAAAATTTCAAAGATGCCAGCGGCCTTGTCGCCTGAATTTCTCGTGTTTGGCATGCCAATGCGAATTCAAGTTTACAAAAATGATAAGCATAACGATGATCAGAACGGTTCGTTGTGTGTGTACATGTGGAATTGGCGAAACATTGACGATGAAGGCGCACCACAGAAAATAACATTCCAGTCGAAATTCAAGTTGTTAGCCTATAAATCCGAAGACAACACTTGGCTATCGAGCGATGACAAAGCGACGTGCGAACGTAATACGGGTACACGGGAAATCAGCAAAAATGCGGCCTGGGCCGGTTTTGAACACTTCCTTTCGTGGCACGATTTGAAGAAGGCTCATATGTCACCAGATGGAACGATTCGAATGGAAATCGAAATGAAGCAGATAAAACCAATTGAAAACAAGGCGGCCAAAAGGGAATGGGAGAATAGCGCCAGTGGAAGCGGTTACAATGAAAAGAACATGAAGCCAACCATCGTCAGTGCGATCAAATGCTCAAGCTGCTTCGAAGATATGTTTCGTCAAACGCTGTTGCGTGTTCAATGTGGGCATCTCTATTGCAGTACCTGTATTGAAACTGACCTAAGGCAACGCAAAGAATGTGTGGTGTGCAACGAACCACTCGATCCCGATGTGCCACCCCAAATCATTTTATTCGATTGAAAAACATCGATCTTCAAATATTATCTCACGTATTTTCATTTACTTCTACTTCATACATGACTCTACTTGGTGGGAATTAAATAGATAAAAACAAAACTCTACTTAAAATTAAGTAATCTAATCAAACAATCGAATATTGACGACAAACAAATAAATATGTAATATGCCATGATACTACGCACTACATGATGCGAAAAATTCTATAAGAAATATCTACTTTTTTAATCAAATGTTCCATTAAAAATAAAACCAAGATCTGCAAATTGAATGGAATAAAATTTTTACGTTTTTGAAATAGAAATAAAAATTGTTCCTAAAATCCATTCAAAATGTTCAATCATTTCAGTCAATGTTATCATTGTAAATTTTCAGCTCGATTGCTTCAAAGTGCAACGCACACTTCGCAATTTTGATTTCCAACAGCTAACGAATGTAAGTATTAAGAACAAGCGGCAACAGCAAATTAACATAAACAATGTTGAATTGTTTATTTTTCGGCGATTGTATATTGAACGCATTTCGTGTTTGACAGTTAGTTGAATCGTTCGAAAATTTGGATCTTGTCATCTAAATGTGTTGCTAGTTAGTTTGCGTTAACTTTGTCGGTCAAAGCACATGACATTTCTCATCTCTATCAATATAAATGGTTTGTATTCGAGAAAAATTATTACAAATCGATTGAAAAACAATCAAAATGAACAAGGAAACATCGTTTGAGCTACGTATTCCAATGAATATCTATCAATTGGACGGACACGTTACACCTGAAATCATTCTTAATCAGTTTTCATGGCAAGTCGAAACGAAAAAAGTGGTTTTGAGCAATGGCAATCCGCAATTGGGAATTTTCGTTCGATGTAACATTCAACAGCCGTGTCCATCAGATTGGTGTGCAATTGCGGCCGCATTAGTGCGATTGGAACCGCCACGGGTAAACATGCGGTCATTAGAAAAGCCGATTTACTTCATGGCTTTCAATCCCGGGATCAACAAACGAGGCAATGATCGATTGATGCATTGGAACGATATAAAACGTTTTGTAAATGAAGAAAAAATCACGATCCACATTAAAATTCAAGCCATTGGACTGTCGAATGCCAACAATTCGGTGAACATAACCACGTTATCTCATGCTGCTGATGCAAAATTAAAGGTGTAAAAATTCCGGTCTAATGTATTTCATTTGAATAACTTACGTATGTTCATCATTGTTTTCAGGTGCGGGCAACTTTTAGAGATATTCAAACCACATTTGCTTTGATGTCTCCGGAAATCCATTACGACGGTTCAGCATTTCGAATTTGCATATTTAAACGACCATATGTCAGCGAACAAGAGCCACATCGCAGCCAAGATGCATTGTGGTTGTATTTAGTGTGCAGTCGCATTGGCGAGAATGAACATCGAAAGTGGTCGTACAAAATCAAGATGTTGACACCCAATGGAAAAGTTGGCCCACTTTGCACAGAAGAGAAAAATATTCGATTTTCAACCGGATTTGATTCAACCGGGGCTCCATTTATCATGTTGGAAGAACTTTTTGATCAGCGAAACAAGTATCTTTCCTCAGATGGAGCCATCAACATGGAAATGGAACTAGCGGTGATGGCAGAATGCCGGTCTTTGTCAGCGTTTGACCTCAACAACGTACGTATCAAAACTGAGCCAAAGTCACCAAAACGCCCTGCGTCACCACCATTGGTCCCCATTGAAAGAGGTGCCATAAATGCGCAGCCAGTGCAATCATTGGCCCACATCAAAGTCGAAGTTACAGCAGCAGCCACTGAATATTCAGCCGATGTTACAGACGCACAACCGCGTGACCAAAGTGCATCGGGTATTGCTCAACCGAGTGGCATTCGAAAGCGCGCAGCAGTTCCAACTGAATTAAAATGTATTTTATGCCCAACAAATTTGCTTCATGAATTTGGAGTGTTCACCACCAAATGTGGCCATCTCTATTGTAAAGAGTGTCTCGACGACGATGTTTGCAAGCGGCAGATGTGTCTCAAGTGTAACTCCCACATTGAAAAAGCCCAATGCACTCAAATCTACCTAACAGACGAACAACGAAAGATGAGAAACTGCACCAAAACCAGATCTTCTCTTTCTCTTCGATATTTCCTTGACAACTTTGACCAAGATACTCGCAACCGAGCATCAGATCATCCATCCAACCAAGTTACACGCGCACCAAACCATTTGTTGAGCTGTCCGTTGTGTGAGGGAGATTTGGTTGAAAACGATTCAGACGTATTTACAATACAATGTGGTCATCTTTACTGCCGCAACTGCCTTTTCAAAGACATTGCTTATCGTCGCGAATGCGTGGTTTGCAACAAACGAGACAGAGGCATGTGGACCCAAATTTTCTTTCCTTGAAATTGGTAAGCTAATGAGTATTTTCCAGTTATTGTGCTCATGTGTTCATTAAGACTTGTATCTTTTTATTCCAATTTCAGACAATCAAAATCCAATCAACTAAGGATCAACCGGCGAACATTCCCATAAATGAAGCAAAAGCAAAATCAAAATCAACGAAAACTTAGAAGAAACGGACTGAATTCCATTCATAATTTTAATTTTCATTATCAACTCATAATTTTAAAAATCCCAAATTATATTTTGAAAATATATGGACAAATGAATTTTTGTAATTCAACGAATTTTCTTGATGTGCTCATCATAAGAACAACTTCATTCTTAATATTTACACCGATAGATGGCCACCCAAATGCGATGACAACGTGCATTTGACATTTCTCTATTTCGTTTAGTTTATTCTTGTTGTTGGAACCGACGCACAAAGCGGTTATACAAATAAAATAGATTTTTTGGTTAAATGACGAAGTTTTTCGTAGCAAGTTTTTGATACCGAACAGAAATCATTCACAGTCACAAATGTAAACTGATTGGAATAAAGTCAACAAGATGAGTCGAAACATTGACGAAAAGTGTTTGATTGTGCGTAACTTTCCAACATCATTCTCCGAAGAAGACATTCGTGATTTTCTGCAGATGTTTGATCCGACCGATTTGAATATTTTCGTCTCAGAACACACAGCAATTGCCGAATTTGACAATTTGGACCATGCTCACAATATTCTAACATTGTTGCATCAAGAGATTTTGGAGGAAAATCAACTATTCGTTGAGTACGCGCCAAGGAATCGCAGTCGATTGGCTCTTCTATGTTCACGGGCAAACAATTCATCGCCTAACATACAACAAAACAAATCCAGACATCGTGAAAAGACTGAAAACGACATTAGCAAAACACTGAAACGATTATATGCGACAGCGGACAATTTGAATTTCAATCAACCACCACCACCTCATCTATACTATGAATACCCGAAAGCGAACCGTGACATAATCGATGCAATTTGCATAGCGCTCGAATGTGTGCCAAAATTCTATACTCAAGTGCTGCATTTGATGAATCGAATGAATCTAGAACCACCGTTTGTGCCCGGTGATAAACGATTGGCCTATGAAAGTTCGCATTTCAAAGTACAATCCGTGGCATCCTCAACACAAACCGAAGAAATTAATTGGCAAAATTTTCTGCGCAACAAACGAAAATTTGTTGAATCTGATGAGTCGGAATTAGAGTCATCGAATTCATCGGATGACGATGGAACCGTTGATTTAAATTCCTTCAAATCGAAACGAAAGAAAACTACGCAAACTCATTCGAATAAGCACGAACTATTGAAGCAGAAGCAGAAAAATTTGCTAAAGATGCAGCGTTTACAGAAGCAACTGGAGCCAATTGACAAATCGACAGCACCGCAGAGAATCGATGATGCATTTGATTTGGAACAGCATCATGTGAAATCCTCAATGATAAAAATTGTTGTGCCGGAACAATTGGATACGACACAAAAGCCAAGCGAACCGATCATATTGGAAAGTACAACTGAAAGTTTGCTTCGAAATGATGACAATTTGGAAAGCGAAAAACAATTCAAAGGCCCGCACATTTGGAGTGATTCAGAGCTCAACGAAAATCGCATACCAACTGACCAACTCAGAGGACATCCAATGTTTCAGAATTATAATGCTGGTGAAATTTGCAATCGACTGTATATAAAAAATATAGCCAAGGAAGTTACTAACGCTGACCTACAAGCAGTTTATGATCGTTACTTAGAAGTGAATTGCGGCGGACATGGCAATATTCGCACAATTGATATTCGGCTCATGACAAGCGGACGAATGAAAGGTCAAGCTTTTATCACATTCGACGGACCATATTTGAACTGTGATGTTGATGATGAAACTACCGATCATACTTTACCATCGAACAAATATCAAATGATTGAAAAAGCATTACGTGAGACGAACGGTCTCATTTTAAAAGGGAAACCATTAGTTGTTGTCTATGGAAAGAAAAAATGAAAACCAAACAAAAAAATTGCTCGAACCGAATAAACATTTATTCATTTATTTATTGAGTCGAATATTCTATTTTCGTTTTGATTTATTTGGACTCTTGCTACGGTTGCGTGTTTTCTTCCCTTTTCCCAGGTCGAAGGATTTCGATTTCTTTTTTGTCTTTTTCCCGCCACCCGATTCTTTCTCAATCGATGTCTTAGTGGTAATGGCTTTTGCCGTATCTTTCGGTACGATTCTGGTGTACAAATCATAATTGAATTCAATGCAATTTTTACCGTTGCAATATTCTTCGCTGCATTCTGCACACGTCATTGGACGCATCTCAACCACCCCGGATTTATTTTTGACTTTTTTCACCGCCGGATTCAACAGATATTCACGTTTATTACGCTGCTCCGTTCGAATTTGTAGTTTGCCCAGTTCAATTAGCCTACATACGACAATTTAAGAATGTATTCGAATCAATTTTACTACTATATCATACTGCTATCATATTGATTAGACTGTCAACTATTGCCATTTACACTCACTTGCTGTAATATTCTTCTTCGATTTTAGTTTTTGGTCGTAGCGTGGTCAACATTTTCCAGTCGATGGGAACTGTGCATAGTTCCTTGATCTTCAATGAGCGCATTTCAGCTGGTATCGGATCGAGATACGTATATTGGCGCTCACGTTCTCCGTTGTGACGCAGTAGATAATTGGTTTCCTTCTTGGTTGGTTTGAACAATCCACTATCTGGATCTTTAATCTTGATATCTTCTGGTCGTACCTGAATCGGTGACGTGTTTGAAATTGATCATATTCTAATTGAAAGCTCATACAGTGCAACACCGTCATTTTCATTCTTTCATTCACACAATACTTACCTTAATGGGTCGCATTTTATAATCAGGCACCTTTTCAAACAATCGCTTATACTCTTCTTTCGAATTGACAATTTGTTTAGACAAATCGAGTACAGGAACCACTTCCTTTTTCTTACCAAGTAAATCTTCTAGTTTGCTCATTTTGGAATAATTTCGCTAGAACGAACGGGCTATCTTCTGAACTGACAAAACAGAAATGATTGCACCAATGTGAAGAGTTTTCTATTTAGGCTCGTTGACAACATTATTGACTAGTTGTCATGGTAAGTTCGATTTTGAAAAGCTCAGTAATGATTTCATTTCGTGTTTTTCCCTTCTAATCTAAAACTTTTGTTTGATTGTATTTTAGCTTAGAATTTACCTCCTTTTGAATTGACTAATAGAATGTGTCATTTATTGAAGGAATTTTTTTTTATAAACCCTTCGAATGAACCAATTGTAAAAATGGGGTAATGGGGTTTAATGCAAATTAAACAATTATTGTTGACTGTGGTTGCCATGGCGCTCAAATGGTGTCCTATTTTCCGTCGTTGTTTTAATAGCACATTCCAAGCGCTGCTTGCGTGCACATGATAATTATCATATAATGAAGACCCATCTATTTTTTTTACTGTTTTATTAAGTTTTAAATTATTCATAGAATTCATCGTTTTTTTCTGCCGATTTTCGATGCTGATGTGCATTTCCAAAGAGAAATGTTCAATAACGAGTTTATCGCAAAGGACAAAAGATCTATTAAATTTTTAATTTATTGGTGTCCATGCAAAACGGATTCAAATACAAGTAGTAGCGCATTTTCGAATTGTGCAAAAACATGTTTGGCTCATTTTGTTCTATTTGTTTTTTTTGCAATTTTTATTAAATAAATTTCGAATATATGTGTGTATTTTTTTCATATTTGTTTTTTCTTAAGTGTGTGGAGATGCTTTTGTTTCAATGTGATCAATAATCAGAAGATGATTGGAGAATTAAAAATTTGGAATTTTAATGATCATTTTTTTGTTTTTTTTTTGTTTTTTCATTTGTTGTTTGGATTCGCCTTGTTGTTGTGTTTGTGTGTACTTGATAGGTGTTTTTTCTCTTTCCATTTGATGCCTATTTCGAACGACACTCGAGCATTTTGCAAGCGAATTTTTAGCGTACGAAATTGAAATTCTTTTTATTGTTCGAACTTTGGATATTCGCATTGTTGCTGTTCCGTTGCGGATTGCCGCGGTATCTGTTAGCTGAGAAATTCTTTACATCTGAACCGCCACCGCCAGCGCCACCTCCACTTTTGTTGTTGTCCGACGATTTATCGGTACGTGATCCGTTTTGATAAAACGTATTGTTGTCGTTGTTCCGATAGAATGAAGAGGAACTGCCGTTACCATTGGTCGAACCTCGCGAATTTCCAACTCCATTTCCCGAATTGTTTCCATTGTTGTAAGAACCATTCGAGCGACCACGATAGTTGCTTGTAGCGTTTTTGGAGAATCTACAAAACCAAAATCGATTGAAAACAAATTCATTTTTGTCAATAAACTAATGATACGATGGCCAATAAACTTACGATGATTTTGATGCCGATGAACGATAATTTCCCGGACCTTGACGGTACTGGTACCGCTGGTTTGAGTTACCTCCCGCCCATGTGTTCGAATCATCTTGTCCATTTTCGTTCGGCACACCGTTCCATTCGTTGCTCTCCTGCGAATTTTTGTTCGTGCCTGTCGTGTACGAGTCGCGCCAAGCATTATTTCCATTGCTGCAATTCGACATCAATATAAAGGTAAATCAATTAAATCATGTTTTTGTTTTCGAATACAAAATTGATCATTTTAGTGCGTAGCAAAATGTCTACCTAATAGTGGCTTTCAGGTCCGTTTTGTGAGAGTGGTCCAATGAGGTGTTGTTCAGTTTGGATGTAACATGCGGGATATCGTCGGATTTCCACTCGTTTTCTTTGATATCGGCAGTGTTAGCGTGCAAATCGTGTGTGTTATTTTCGGTAATGTTTTGATGGGTTGAAAGGGTTGTTTGATTCACAAATTTCGATGCCGTTACGAATGGCTGAGATTGTTGCACCAGCATCTGATTAGCATTTGGCGACGTTGTTTGCTGCGGAACCGATTGCTGCAACGTGGGCAGTTGAGCTGGGATCGGAATCGGAGCATTTGGGGTTGCAAATCCTGGTATATGTACCTGTTGTTGTGGATGATGCTGCCGAGGTTCAATTTTGGATAAAATTCAATTTTCAAAGACCATCGAAATAATTTATCTAATTACCTGTTGGGGCGTTGGTGGAACAACATTTGCGAACGAAGACTGTGGATTGTGGATCAATGGAAATGACTGATTGTTGAATGTGGCCGCGACACCAGTTGTTTTTGCTTCAACAACCGATGCACCAACCGATTTCGTATCGATGCCACTCACCCCAGGGGATTTCCAATAGGTCGCATTTACCTGTTGATTTTGATGTGCCTGCGATGGTTGGGTATGCATTTGGTGTTGAGTTGTTGGAACCTCCTGAAATGCCATTTAAAATTTAATGTCAGTTCGTCTTTCATCAATATCAAAAATTCAATATATGGATCACATTGATTCGCAATCACTTACAGGTCGCTGCAGTGGCAGTTGAGTGGTTGGGTTAATGTTGGATTGCGGAAGGGAATCTAGAGTTGGTTGTTGAGGTGGTTGCTGCACAAAGAAAAGAATGGGAGAACAAGAATCAGTCTGATGTTGTCTTAAGAAGAATGGGAAAAGTCGTGTGCTTACCCCAATTTGGTGGTGAACAGGTGGTCGTTCCGTATTTTGATGTGGCGTCATATTGTTCGGTACTTCTGGAGAATCTAATTCCGAATCCTGCAGGAAAAAGAAATTTCCTGTTCCCAAGACTTCAGCTAACGGACGGGCCATCTGTTGAATATACTGATGTTGTTTGAAATATGCACTCTCTACGGCCCGTACAGTTGTCGGCTGAACATGTCCAGTATGGATTTGATGACTGGGTGGAACTTGCGACAATGGAATCGAACCACCACCGGCTGCCACTGGAACTGTTTTATAAAAGAAGAAAAATCAATCGTTAATCATATGCAAAAGCGAGAGTGCCTCGAATCAATTTGCTGTCAAATTCACTGTGGTGAAATGTACCTTGAGGAAGTGTTTTGAGATTTGGTGGCGCAGAGTGTGCATTGATTCCAGGTGGTGACACAGTGTGCGGTTGTTGAGGTGTGAATGTCGGCACAGGCACAGCAGATGCACATGGAGCTTCTTGAAAATCAACCGTTCCGCTTTCACCTTGGGTGTTCACCGTTGCAGCATCAATATTCACATTAGTTGTGACATTGACGATTACTTCTTCTGGAGTGGTGGCAGCATTCACTTCATCAACATCGGTTTTCACGTCACCACTTTGCTCAGAAGAATTCTCATCTTCTACATTTTTTTTCAAAATTCGAATAATTAGTATATGTACGTGCATTGCCTCAAGTGAGCTGTGAGAATGAATAAATACTAACGCAATTCGGTATTATTTTCAGGTGGCTGTTGAGGTTGGTTGAGCTTCTCAAAGTAAGCGGACTTTTGGATGTTTTTCAAAATGGCTTTGACGTTGGCATAGGTGGTAGATGCTTCAAACTCTTTCTGCTTCCCATCAATAGTCAATGAAAGAAGGTCAGCGGCTTTTTGGCATGAGTTTTTGTACGATATGCCGCCAGGTTCGGTTGAACGTTTCGGAAGAATCTTTGTTGCACTGTGAACAGAAAATAATGTAATTTCATTCGAAAATTCGATTCGCATTCATTCGTTTCATTTTTTTCTCTTTAAATATTCAATAACTTACAATGAATCGAGCAGCTCAAAGTCGCTTTCCTCAAGCTTACAGGCTCCATTTGTACCAGCCAAAAATTCATTGCGTACCGATTCGTCCTTTAGCACGTTTAAAATGTCTTGAATGATTAATACTTCACGGATTTTCGATGTTTCATTTTGCTTTTTAAGTGATTCATCCTTTTTCTGCTTCTTTTTTAGATCCTTTTCCGATGAGATGATAACTTTATCGATTTGCTTCGAAAATTCTCGAGCAAATTCAAGTGTCATTGCCACCTCATCGTACTTCAAAATAGCAATTTTCTTGTCAGCGCTCAAATCCTTGCCGGTTTTCTCCAAATCCCGATATGATTCAAGCTTGCTCTAAACGTTCACAATAACGGCGAATAGTAAAAAATAGAAAGAGAGAGGGAGGGAGAGAAAGAGAAACACATTAAATCTATAGGAATTTGCTGTAATTTAATAATAAAATATGATATTTTATCGCAATTTGATAAGCACCAGCAAATTGCTTGTTGTTATTATTCAAATTGTTGTTTTTTTGTCGTTTGGGAGACGTAGATTTGATGAATGTGCCAGAATTCTGTACGTCGCAATATTTTATTGGGGGCATTATGCATTCGATGATTGTGTGTTTTCATTAAAAAGGCATTATAATTGGCGACCTTCTGCGATCTGCATTACTGTCGGGCATAAATTCAGCATATGACAGACGTGATTACCAAAACTATATCCGAACCATTGAGGCAGGCGAAAAAAAATGCAAGCTCTGTGTATATATATATGTATTTTTTCGAGCTTCTTCTTCTTCTACTCTTGCTCTTTGTTCATTGCAAACTCATGTGTTTTATTGCATATGGGCATACCGTATACGAGGCGAAAAATATGGCGTCCATCATTCACGCTATAGTTTATACAGCCGCACCATAGGAACACAAAATACATGCGAACGCACACAGCTGCACGCTCGACTCTCTATATTAAAGCATAGACACAACAGTGGATTGAGCTCCTAATATTCAGCATGCACACACTAACACGTACAAACACAAACACAAACACACACACACACACACACAATAGCATAGAAACACTACTGACGCTACTTCAAAAACTATTGGAACAAAATCCAACGAAACATTGAAATGGAAAAGTAATCCAAAAATGTGGTTGAACTGAATCGCTACCGTTCAAACTATTTACTTCAGCTAATTATTTTTTCTGCCGACTTATCATTAGATATCTATTTCATAGTTTCACATGGATGTACTTTGCTTTGCTTCTAGTACAGAAAAAAAAATCAAAGTCATAATACGGCACAACAAACAGATACGTATGTCTTATTGGAACAATAAGAAATTAAGCAACGACAGAAGAAAGAAGAAAAAAAAACACCTGAATAGACATAGTCATTGGTTTTTGATCAAGACAAAATCGTTTGGCATGAGATCGCCCCAAAAATAAAAGATACAATTCTCGAAAAAATGTGCCTTGATTTACTGTAGACAGATGCGTGAAACATGAGTCATTGCGTTCTATTGAGATTGTTGAAATCACTTCGATAGAAAATGTGCGTGCCTTTCAAATTAATAGACATTCTGACGCGCCGTGTGCTCACAGAGCTCACGATGATTAGATGAAATTAACATAGAAAGATTCTATAATCGAGGTGAATGCGCTTCGCCAGGTGAATGAGCTAGCGAATATCTATCTCTCTTTTCTTTGCAATGGAGACATTTTGGCAGCGTTTCCCTTTTTTCGTCTTTACAGAAGAGAAAAATTAGACTATTCGCCCATTTGAGCAAAATTGAATCAAATGAAACGAGAGAGAGAAAAAAAGCCAAGAGCAGTGAATTAGTTTTTTTTTTCGACGGAAAAATATTAAAAAACAGCTTTTTTTACTCTTCTCTCAAACGCTCCCCGTCTGAATTATGTACTGTATACAATCGCATAATCACACGGCTTTTGTTATTATTAATTGAACACACACAGAAATAAATTTGCGTAACGCTTTCGCAGACACATTACATTCAACCGAACACAAAACTAAACACCGCTATATAGAAAACACAATTGAAATCTTGTTCAATCACTGAAATCGCATGCACACCACTGAACGAACAAACGAACGAGTCGGAAGAGTTTTCTCTTTGCAAAAATAAAAAAAAACTATTGCAATAGAAATCGGCCAAGAAGTGACCAATCACCATGAAACTTTTCAAATCATTCTGATTGCAGGAAAAGAATCAACGGGAAAACAATCGATTTATGATGCACAGTGCAAAAATAATATTTTTTTTCTCCTGTCGTATTATACTTTGTATGATCGGCCTGAGATGAAACGCTACGAAATGAAACAATGTTGTTACAGTGTGGAGTGTATATTCCACCTGATATAAACATTTCGTCGAAATTCGCTCGTTTAATTTGTTTTACTATGAAAATATCGAAGACGGCCGAACATACATAAAATGCACTATTCACAAATCGCATATAAATCCATTATATGCGCGACACAAGCGATGAAAAAAAAACATGCATCCGCACATGGAACAAGAACCGTATTTGTTCTTCAACTCATTGTTTCGTTTTTTTTCTTCTTTTTTTTTCTTAGTGAATGACACAAAAGTGTTGCTTAGATTTGCTTATGGTTTTTTTTCTGGTTTTCGGGGCTTACCTTGCGTTTTTCCAAATTTCGAATTTTATGCTCGATTATTAGAGAGATTTGTCGTACGGGTGAACTATTGTCAACATTTTCGCTTTGTGCAGCCGCTTCTTTATTAGCAGCGACAGCATTGTTAGCTAAAATGTTGGTAGTTGGTGGTTTGTCTACTTTAACACTCGCGGCAGAAGGCATCCTTTACAGGCAACTGAAACAACAGGAATAAAGCACTGCTCGTACTTCGCTTGAACGATATGCCATGAAATACTGACTGTCATCGCCATTGTTTTTTTTACTCTCTCAATTGAGCATGGAAATACATTGAAACCGATAGAGGGCGCCAACATATACATAACACATGTACACGGTTTGTTTAACATTACTAGACAATATGATCGTAACTCTCTCACACCCATTTGCTCACGCTCGCATTAGCTCTCTTCATGCAGATAGTTTACATGTGCAAATGTTCTCCGTTCGCAAGCAATGACATCTATCGCAATAGTCAGCAAAACGAGCAACACTTTCTCCACATTTGAACGTTATTTATGCCAGAAAATAAATAAATAAATAAATATTGCCATTCAGCTGATCTGCATTTTTTTCCTCAATGATTGAAAATGAATAAGGCTATGCTCCAGAAAATAAATTTATAATACTCACATTTCCTGCGATACATATGACAATTTTATTTATCATTTCAAATATTTTTCTTTGACAGATTCTTTTCTTCAACACAAACAATAATTGTCAACACATTTTTTGAGATTGGTACAGAGTTTAAAAGGATAGAGCAGTAAATTTGGCTAAATCACGTATCGAAATATCATAATGGGTCTGTTTCCCATGTCATAAACGATTTAATTTTTATTGCAATAGCCGACTCATCGTAGTGATCTTTGAGTTCAGTCAGGCATTTTGTTTGTTGTGGAATTGAATTTATGTAAATTTGGAGTGGTTTCATTTCCGTGGCCGAACGTTTTTTACAATATTGGATACCTAGTAATTTCATATAAATCAAATGATCGAAGTTCATGCTGGGCATTTTCAAAGCCAAAATTTCCAGATTTTTGGCCGCTTCAACCAAATTGACAATTGTGTCCTGCACAGAGCGGTCAATCTTTTCCACATCCAAAACGCATTTGGTCATGTTTGGCAAAGATTGAACAAATTGCCGAATAAATGATTGTGTTTCATTCGACGGTGAAACTAGGCGCAATGTTTTTAGAGCTGTAAAACCCTGCGGAAATGGCTCGGCCAGAAAGTCGTCTTTTTGTATTAAATCATGTGCAAGAGTTGAAACTTGAATTGTTAAATGTTCGACGGTGTTCTTTTTGGCCATCGCTTTTAGAACGTCATACAAATCGGAGCAGTTGACAAAGTGACTTTTCAACCATGTTCGTTTTAGGTAGTTTATTTCATGCAGGCAACTATATACCGACTTCCAACTGGTCGCATGATCGGTGTTGGGATTGAATTCGGGTCCACGAACATCGTCGATATCTGAATCGCTTTCTTCCGAATCAAATTCAGTCTCACTGTCACTCTCCTCAAATGAAGTTTCCGCATCTTCACTCTGAAACGAAAGTGATTTGATTGGATATTAGAAAAAAAAAACATCAACTAACTCAAATGCACTTCATCTTACTAACATCATTATTTTCATCGCCTTCATCCCCTTCCTCCTCTTCTTCTTCTTCTTCTTCTTCTTCTTCTTCTTCTTCGTCGTCATCATCATCGTCGTTCTCTTCAAGCGTTCTTTCTTTAGGATCCCTTGGCACCGGGCTGAAGTCAAAATCGTCGCCGTGCGGGAGTTGCAAATACGAATTTCTAATTTCGAATTCCTTCAAATTCGGAATGTAACGTGTCACCAATTTACAGAGATGCTAAATAAACGAACGAGTAAATGAGTAAATGTGAAAAATTGAAAAAGCCTCGAGTCGAATCGTATGGAATCTACCTGATGATGCACTGATTCCGTGCTCAAAATTAGTGTTGTTAGCGCTGGGCGACTTTGAATAAATTCACGAAAATGGACATATGCGATCAACTCGACGAAGAGGAATGTCAAACTTTGTAGATTTTTCAGGTGGCCAAATTGAAACCATTTGCCGACTGTGCGAAGATAGCGAACATCTAACGATGACAATTGCGGTGCATTTCCAATGATTGTCGTTAACACATGTTCTTGAGCGTGACTAAACAGCGGAATAGATGAATATTTTTTGAAAATTGAGATAATCTCCAGTCGAATCCTCGAGTCAAATCCCATGAAAATTACCTAAAATCATCCGAACCACATGCAGAGAACGCAAAATATTTCAAATTGCTGAAGAATGGCACAGCACTGCTTAGTAGACCCGAATCAACTTTTAGTATACCAAATCGTAAAGTCAATTCGACCAAATTGCCGGGCACCAAGTGACTAACGACGTTTCGAAGCAAACGGTTAAATTTCGACGAGAATTTCCCGTGTAAAAAATTGTACTCGTTTACATCTAATCTACAGATGGAATGGCCAAAATCTTCGAAAATTGGTTGAAGCTTGAAATAAACAAGAAAAAAAAAACATTGAACAGCTACTATTTGAATGGATAAATTTGAAAAGAAAAAAAATAGCAATCGATGCAAAAAAAATGTTCATTTGTTTTTCATCAAACTTACATCAACGAATTCACTAATTTCGAATAGTTTGCTGGACAGAATGTGCTTGTACAGAAAGACTTTTTTTCTAAACTCGTCGTTGACTTGGCACAATTCCATCAACGCATCGCTATCCAAATAATCTAAGATCATGAGAAAACTGCCCATATTCAGTGATTCCAATGTAAATTTTGCATTGTCATCATCAGCATTGCAAATGGATATCTCGTTGGCCAATTCGTTGGTTTTCACCATTTCTATGTTGTTATTTGAATCGATGTTCATCGTGTGTACTTTTCTATTATATATTCTTATATTTCAACGAAAACTTAACAATCTAACTTAAAATTCTAATAAATCAACGTAATTTTGAACTAATACAATTTTCGGACGACAAAAAATTTTAACAACTCAAAATCAACACATTTTTCACAAAGAGCAATTACAGCAATCAAAATGGTGTGGTGTGGTGTGGTGTGATTTGGTGCTTGTGCAGCATCACTTGCGTTCGGTTTTTCGACAATACCGTTAATTTGAATGAAACACAAACGAGCCGGTAAAAATATGATTAGACAGTGCAGAACACACTCTATCGTTCTGTCTCTGTCGTCTGTAATACTTTGCATTCACTATCGTTACGTGCAAACGCAACAACACCGACTTTTGTTGCCGATGCAAGTGCCTTCTGTATTCTTGTGTGCCAAAGCATTGATCTCTGTCACAAACTGTCCATAACATAACACGTTAACGACGTGATATACTTTGTTATTGCTCAATGAAGATTTGCATCGGAATTGATATTTCAGATTAAGTACGCCATTTGCACGTCA